AGCGACAGCCGCGCTGAGCCCTGGGCGGGAGGGACGGCGCGGGCGGCGGAGAGTAGCCCCGGGACAGACCTGCCGGACCTACAGCCCCAAGACGCGGCAAGGGGAAGCAACCAGCTCGGAGTGCGCTGATCTGGGGCTCGCGACCGAGGTGCTCGTGCTCGGCCGCTCAGCTCGTTCCCAGTAGGTCCCAGCTCAAAGGAAAATCCTGTTTGAGTTCCTGAGTTCATTCTACGCGGGCAAGATAAAGAGCAGAAGCTGAGCGATTGTCTGAACGATTTTAGGAAAGAATTAAGATTCAGTGGGTTTAGTTCAGTGGGATTTGCTACCCTGTTTGCTCAGGCCTAAATTTCGAGTGATCGTGGGCCCTGGCTCTGCGCAAGCCGGCCAGCCTTCCAGTTAGCCTGTATTTGCTTTAATGTCCGAGAGAAGGGGAACAAGTTTTGCAGATGCACCCGATTTGACCAGCAGACAAAGGCTGGTGCAGGGCTGTGTCTAATGTACACACCAGCTCCATGTCCGCGCAGCCAAGGGGAGCTCAGGGCCTGTTTGCAAAGCTTTCTCTCGGTTTCTGTTTCCCTGCCATGCCATCCTCCTTGGGGAACCTGGGGCCTGTCCTGTCTCCTGTTCCTTGCGTGGATTTCTTCCAGGCTGTCTTTGCTGTCCTTATGTGCACGGGCCCTCCTGAAGACAGTGGCCAAGCTTCGGGTCCAGGCCTGCCCAGCAAGGGTCCTGTGGATGGCCAGCTTTTACCTTAAGATCGTTTTTTCCGCAGTGCCCTTCAGCCTGCAGACGCTCTGGTGGGGATTGCAGGAGCCCTGTACTGGGAGACTGGCTTCCGGCATGTTTTCTGCCCACTGCCCGCAGGGAACTGCTTGTGAAGGGAGAGAGTGGGAAGGGCAAAGAGGGAGCCAAGCCTTGTGCTGTCCTCCAGGGCCCAGGGGCTAGCGCTGCGGTGCCATCAGCCGAGGGCAGCTTCAGCAGACAGCCCATCCAGGAGCTGCAGAATATCCTTTGAAGAGCCCTGGTTGCTGATTAAGTTGGGGTCCAGAGCAGAGGGTGGGGAACCGTTAAGGCATAATCCAAGTCTGCCCTGGGCAGCAGCGCGTTGGAGTTAGGCTCCTTGGGGGAAGCGGGTGCTTCCAATATAGAGGCTCCAAAATTCAGGCCGGAACCTGGGAGTCGGGGACTGTGGGCTTCTGAGGTGTCAGCCTTGCTGGAGGGATTGGGAAATAGTGCAGGCCCAACTGAAAGGGCAATGGGAACTCCTCTGAATTACTCGGACTACCTGGTTTCACTTTGTTGGAGCCGGGAGCCTGTCAGATCAAACTAGGGAGGCTCTGCCGAGTGCTGAGAAACTGGGGGACCCGCATCTTAGGGATCCTGCTGCCAGCCAAGGCTAGTTCTGAGATGACGTGGAATCCGCAGGGTAAGGCAGGTCCACAAAAACACTGGTGGCCGATTAGGAGTCCAAAGCACAGTTTTAGTGCTTCGGGAAAGGACCGAGGGCCTGTCCTACCGCACCATTCAGTCGCAGCCAGGCACGGGGCCTATTCAGGTTAGAGCAGTGGGTGGAACGCAGCAGCCAGAAGGGAGACCCTGTGAGAGGCTGCTAGTCCTGGGTAAGTCATAGTAGGGCATCCTGCCCTCCTCCCCTGAGGTGACTGGAGGCTCTGCCACCCCCAGGCGGATGTTCCCCACGTTCCAAGTGAAGCTCTTCGGCATGGACCCCATGGCCGACTATATGCTGCTTATGGACTTCGTGCCGGTGGATGACAAACGGTACCGGTAAGCGAGCTCCCGGGCCCATGTGGCCTGACTGTTGAAGTGTGGGACCCTAGGAAGCAGCAGGTCCCTGCTGAGTGACTAACTCCATGGCCCAAAGCTCTTTAATGAAAAGGTCCTTCCAGGTACCTGAGCGGGCTGCCCATTTACCTCCTGCACTTGGTCCTTCTCTGCCTCCTTTGGACCCCTGACCCTCACCTCTACTTACTCTCCAGACTCTGCCTCAGGAAGCCCAACAGCTAGGAACTCCGGCTTCAGGCCCAAGGCGATTGGACGCACTGCCTCAGATTTTCCCGTCTCTCTCTCCCTTGAGGCAGTCATGAGTGCCTGGTCCCCTACCCCCATCTTCAGGGACTGCTAGATCCCAGAGTTGGGCCGGAAAGGTGGGGTGGCCAGGAGAGATTATGCAGGGCGGGCCTTGGCTGCCTGGACAATTAATAACAATTAATAAATCCAGCGCAGACCGCCCTGCGCCCAAGGCCAAATTTAGGCTCCTGCCTGGGATGAGCAGACCCGCGTACAGCGAAGAGAGAGGAGCGTGGCCTCCTTTCGGTGCCCAGTGGAGTTCTGGTTTTGTGTTATTTTGTGTATTGGGGGCCAATGGGAGTTTTCTCATTTTCCCACAATCCCTTTACTAAAACTCCCAGCCTATCTGTGACACGGGAGGGCTTGATTTTGCTGACAAGAAAACTCTTAAGAGGCATTTTTGGGATTTACCTGGCACACGGAGCAAGGCCCATTCTGTTCACCCCCAGTGTGGCATGACCGCCTCCCCGGTGCTGCCCTAGGTACGCCTTCCACAGCTCCTCCTGGCTGGTGGCCGGCAAGGCAGACCCTGCCACTCCGGGCCGCGTGCACTACCACCCAGACTCGCCGGCCAAGGGTGCACAGTGGATGAAGCAAATAGTGTCCTTTGACAAGCTCAAGCTGACCAACAACTTGCTGGATGACAACGGCCACGTGAGCAACACCCTCTCTCAGGCTCCGGGGCTGTCCCTGTTGGAGGTTCTCAGAAGTGCCCATGAGGCAGGGGACTTGGGCAGCCCGGGACAGGCTTTGGAGAACAGACTTGGTCAGAGAGCAGGCCTCAAGCCTGGGAGGGAGTCACCCTCTTTTCCTCACCTCTCCATGGATCTTATGCTGCAAGCTTTTTAATTGGAAGGGATGGGCCCTTGTGTGGCGATGGGGGGCGGTGAGCAGGAGGCTTCCTGGAATCCAGGCCACTGTGGCGCTTTTCTGCAAGGCTGAGTTCCACCGTTGCCCACCACTTGCAGGCCCTACAGCAATTGTTAGGGACCAGGGAAAAGACTAAGTCCCAGGTCATCTTTCCCGGAGGCCCCAAGTGGGTTACACGGCCCTGCCTCATCTCATGAGTTATGGGTTTTGCCCCACTTTACTGGGGCGTTCAGTGCCTGCTCAGACCTCCACCGGATTCCTGGCTCAGCCTGGGATCCCAGCCCAGCCCCCGTCACGGGAGCTGATGCCCCTCCCCACTGTCTTCCAGATTATTCTCAACTCCATGCACAGATACCAGCCCCGCTTCCACGTGGTCTATGTGGATCCACGCAAAGACAGCGAGAAGTACGCAGAAGAGAACTTCAAAACCTTCGTGTTTGAGGAGACGCGCTTCACCGCGGTTACTGCCTACCAGAACCACCGGGTGAGGGCCTGTAGGGAGGTCCTGGGACCGGCTGAGGGGTCCTTCGGGGAGTGTGTGCTGCCTCCGGGGCACAGACAGTTCAGGCCTGCAGGCTGTGGGTGTCCCAGCGGGGCACGGTACTGGTGGGGACCCCTCCCCCCCCCCCCCCCCCCCCCCCCCCCCCCCCCCCCCGCCCGGACCGCCCCCTCGCCGGCCGGCCCCC